AATAGTGTACTATACACTATCGAGATAGTAGCGCTAGTGCTTAAAGGCCTCGATAATAGCTAGGAGCTCTTACTCGTAGGTCTCGTAGCGGCGCTTAGCGTTAATTATCTTCCTCGAGAAGAAGGCAATCGGGTGCTAATAATAGTTATTATCTAATTGCTAGGACATAATAGCCGATATAGCGAACTGTAAAGCGTTAGTCTCAATTCGGATCTGCTTGTTTAGCACGAAATCGTATAATAAGGGGACTTTAGTGAAGCGTCGCTTTAGACCGTTAAAAGCGGCTTGTACTCTATTAGTCTATTTAAACTCTCTAGTTAGGTTAGCCTTAGTTTTAGTAAGCTTAGTTAGGGGCATTACATGCCGTAAATAGCCCTTAATAAACCGGCGGTAGAAATTAGCGAAGCCGAGGAACGATTAAAACTCCTTAATAGACGTAGGAACAGGCTATTTAGTAATTGTTTTAATCCAATTAGGATTAGCCTTAACACTATTAGTTAATACGATAAAACTAAGGAAGGCTACCTCCTTAGCAGTAAAGGTGTATTTAGAAGGCTTGCAATACAGTCTATAGGCTTGTAGGCGATCGAGTACCTTACGGACTATAGCCTAGTACTCCGCAATGTTAGGTAAGTATATATAAACTAGGATGTTATCTAGGTAAACTATACAGAGATAGTCTAATAGGCCCGAAAGGGCCCGATTAATATAGGACTAGAATATTACGGGGGCGTTAGCTAAGCCGAATAGTATAACTAAGTACTCGAAATAGCTATAGCGAGTACGGAAGGCTGTTTTCTATTCGTTACCCTTACGAATGCGGATACGATAGTACGCATCCTTAATGTCTAGTATAGTATAGAAGTAGGCACTAGAAAGGCGATCGAGGGTCTTATTAATAAGAGGAAGTAGATAGCGATCTTTAATAGTAACAGTATTAAGCCTACGATAATCGACATAGAGGCGTAGGCTACTATCCTTCTTTAGTACGAATAGGATAGGGGCACTAGTAGGGCTGTTACTATACCGTATCCGGCCGTTAGCTAGGTTTTCCTCTAGGTACTTACGCAATATAGCAAGCTCTCGTTTACTAAGGTTATAGAGGGGTCTAAAAGGGACCTCTTTGCCCTCTAGGATGTTAATCTTATAATCCGTCTCTTTGAATATAGGCAATGTCGAGGCTAGGTAGTGTTTAAATACATTAATATAGGTCTCTCGAATAGGCTCTAGTATGCGAGCAAGCTAATTAGGGTCTATGCTATTAGGGGGCACAGGTTTATCGTTATCTCTACCGAGAAGGTTAGCTATTAGATTAGCTAAGGCAGGTGTTAGGTTGCTAATAAACAGGACCCTAATATTATTAGGACACTTGCTAATATCGATGTATTTAATGTCCTCTCTCCTAGCGATTCTAAATCGCTATTATTAACTGCCTAAGTCTATAACTATAGTATAGTACTTAAGAACAGGGTTGCTAATAACAATAGTAGCTCCCCTATATAGGTTGTCTATATCTACTACGTAGGCAGTAAAGTCTAGTAGGCGTTCATTTCCGAGGTCGTCCTTTAAGGCTATAGGAATATAGTAGGCCCTATAGGTTAAGTGCCGAGCGTTATTAAACTAAGTAAGGGTTGGTAGGTTAGTCCTCGGCAGTTGTCGAAGGTCTAATTGCTTAGCTAGGCGATAGCTAATAAGGGTACTAACTGAATTTCCTAGATCTAGTATAACCTTAGTTTAATAGCTAATGCCCTTCGTGTCCTATACAAGGTAGGAGCGTGTTATAGCTAGCATAATGTCGATAGTCTTACGCCGTACGAGGCTAATAGTTAGTACGGCGCTTACTCTTTTTTCGAAGGACCGATAGGGGTAGCATTAGCGGCTAAAAGGTGCTTACGATGCTTAGCGGTAGCACGGTCGATTCGGGCCTAGTCCTTAGGTTTGTCGCATTAGCCTAGTAGATAGCTAGTGCTATTATAGTTAAAGCACTTTAGTCCGGTTAGGGGATTGCTATAGCTATTGCCGCTATTATTAGCCGAGCGATTAGTACTATAGGGATACGAGCCCCTTCTACGGCCCCTATTACGGCCTCCTCTATATAGCCGTCGGCTACGGCTTCTCCTACGGTCGTTGTTACTATTATTGTTAGCATTGTTATTCTAGTAGGAACCTTAGTTTCCTCCGCCGCGGCTACTACGGTTGCTACGGTTAGTACTAGTTAGTCGGATTCTCGATTCTAGCCGTTACTAAAGCTAAACAGCTCGTTCGGCTGTTTCCACTTCGACTATGAATTAAATGCGTATTAGGTTAGCCTGTTCGAATACACGGCGGCGGTCCAATTCGAGGACTAGTTCCTATCGCAATTTAGGGCGTATTTCGGAAATCTAGATAGAGTCGGTCTTAGCTAGCAAATCGTCCTTAAGGGTCTTTAAATAGGCCTCAAATAAGCGAGCCGATTAATTAGTCTTTTGTTTAGCTCGAAGGTATTAGTCCTAAGCGTGTTGTTGCCTTAGTATAGGGTTTCTAAGGGTATCTAGTATAATAGTCTTATAGTCTTGCTACTAAACAGCGGTCTAATTAGTAAGGGAGTCGAAATGGTTATCCTAGGTGCGTTTTAGGTCTCTATTAATGTATTGCATAGCATAGACGACTAGCGAATAGTCGTCTAGCAGGGCCCTTAGTATATTCCGCTAGTTCAATTTATAATCACGTATATAATTATTATACTACTTGCGGCTAGAGCTATCAAATACAGTATAGTCTTTAAGCTTAGCATCCTTCTTTTAAATAGAAGGTCCTACTACTAGTTCTAGTCTAGCAGTAGTTGTTAGGGCTTCCTATAGGCGGCGAATCTCGAGGAGATTATCCTTTAGCTATTGTTCTTAACGTAGGGCAGTAAGCCTGTTTTAGGTAGCTTCTTAGAGTCTCCCTACTAGTTAGGGGCTAAAGGCTAGTTAGCTATATCGACGGTTAACAATATTGTTAAGAATGTCGTCGATAGGCAATTCTAGGTCGTTACCTAGAATTACAGGTTCTTCTTTAATAGGCTCTCCGGTAGGCTCTTTAGTAGGAGGCACTTTAGTAGGCACTTTAGCGGGAACTGTACTACTAGCGTTGTTATTGCTAGCGCTGCTAGCGGCAGTACGGTTGTTGTTGCTTCGTAATAAGCCGGCTATTATAAGGGGTAATACTAATAATGTATTATAGGCCCCTAAGATACGGATATAGCGGAATTAGTAGATATCGGCTTAGTGCGATTAACTCGGTGTAATAGGCCGTATAGAAGGCCTTGCTTAATAATTAGTACGGTTGTTTCGATAGAATAGTACGTATAGGTCCCGTTCTTCGGGCGCAATATAGTTAGATTAGTTATTGTAGCTATACCGCTAAAAGCTTGAAATAAGGACTATCTAGCTACTACCCTTAAAGGGTAGATCGAATACTGTATAAGAAGGGTTATGTTAGTAGGTAGATAGGGTGGTAGTAAATTAGTATAGTATTCGATAAGGATCTAGGAGGAGAGGGAGGAAGGTAGGAGAGTTAGCCTAACGCTAAGCGCTAAGCCCTACCTAAGGTATCGAGACCCTAGCTTTACTCGAGCCCGGTTACATACTAATTACGTATAATGGTATAACCTCTTTAGTCCTAACAGAAAATAGCTATCTAGCGGTAGAGGATATAACTAATAAACTTGCCTTAGGCCTCCTCCGCGATCGGACCTACCTCTATTTAGGCGCCCCGCTTTATAGGCTTATATAGACCTTCTACCTAAATTTAGCACCTTCTACCTTCTACTTTCTACCTTCTACCTTCTACTCTATCTCTATATCCTTATATTATCTCTCTGCTAAGTATACTAATATATATCTAGCTTAGCGGTCTATGCTAAGCCTATAGCGAAGCGCCTAAAACTAAACCGGGCCTCCTCTATATAATCGCCTATACGATTTTAGCACTCTTTAATATATAGATAAACAAGTATACCTAATAAAGACAAACCTAGAAAAAGGGTCCTACGCCTTAATAAGAAGTATAATTGTCTCTATATAAGCCTATCGCTAATCTAGATACTACAGGCTATATTTACTGTATACTAAGACTAGTTGTCCGTAGAATCTACTAAAATCCGATAGATTCCGCCGCTCGAGGGCAAAATAGGGACTAGAATACGGCCTACGATACTTCTTAGATATACGATGTCTATTGCAATGCTATCCGTAAGGGCCTCTAAGCACTCTTTGTCCTATAAGGATATAGTGTTGCTGCTATCTTACCCTTAAGGGCAGGTACTAAGACTTTTATCGTAATTTGCTTTTCCTCGTAGTAACTAGTACGCGATAATAACACTACGTCGCATTATATCTTAGACTTAGAGGGCCTTGTCTAAGCTGTTATAAAGGGCCTTAGCACCTTTATAGAGTCTTTATCTTTATAAATTGCTAAGATATAGGACTCGAGGGCAGACGGCTATATTATATAGGCTGTTTTAGCCTAGCTTGTTCTTAGGCTTATAGGAGAAGAATCAGTTAGGTGCCGTTGAAATATCGTAAAAGTCTAGTTAAAGCTTAATAAAAGTCTTCGTTACGTAATTCTTCTTCCCGCAAGCCTGAATGGAGGTAGGATCGGACAACTAATTTATAAATAGCCGGAGCTGATATACGAATAGTCGCGCCCCTCCAGGCGATGTCGAAAGGACCAGACTTCCTCGTGTGCAAGCAGAAAGTGAATGGAGTAGGAGATACTCCATGAAGCCCGCGAATTGTGGTCTGCTCGCGATGCTGGCCTACGGAAGAAACTCGTCCGTTGAAACTTCTTTGACTTTCCGGACCTAACGCCACTACTACCCTTACTCATCAGAGGATTGCTTAGGCACAGCATGGCGTAACAATGTGGGATAGTGGCTGCAGATGCTGTGTCAAGCCCATAGGCATGAGGTATCATTCCCTATAAGTAGGTCCTTCGCAATCCTCAGAAAGCAGGGCCCATCCAGCTCAGCATTTTCTCACCGAAGAACATCATCAACAAGCATCCCACGCATTTCATCCCATCCATCGATATGCATATCTTTGTCACTGGCGCATCAGGCTTTGTTGGGCAGGCCACGCTTGCAGAGCTGACCGCTCATGGCCATGAGGTATCGGGGTTGGCACGAAACGATGCTTCGGCAGACAAGCTTGCACAGCAGGGAGCCAAGGTCGTTCGAGGAGGCCTGGAAGACCTCGAGGTCATCAAGAAGGCTGCTCAGGCTAGCGACGCCGTGGTGCATCTAGCCTTTATTCACGACTTCTCTTCGCCTGAAGCCATCGCCAAATCGAACAAAGCAGATCGAGAACTCATTGCGGCAGTCGGCGAAGCTCTCGCCGGTAGCAATAAGCCTTTCGTGATCGTCACTGGCATACTGGGTCTCCCCCGGGACCAGTTGGCGACGGAAGACTCTGAGCCGGTTCGAACAGGTCCAATGGCCGAGCGACAACAAGCTTCCGATCTGCTCTTCGCCTCGTCGAAGGACAACAGTTTCAAAGGAATGGTTGTTAGATTCCCACCCACGGTTCATGGCAAGGTATTGAGAGTCAAATGCCTGCAGACACATGCAGCTAACACATTTTCCAGGGCGATCAAGCCTTCATCACAATGCTCGGCAACATCGCGAAACAAAATGGCTTCGTAACTTACATCAATGATGGTGCCGCTCGATGGCCAGCCACGCACCGAAACGATGTTGCAAGTATGCTTCGTTTAGCAGTCGAGAAGGGCACAGCGGGTGCAATCTACCACGCAATTGCAGAAGAAGGTAAGCGACAAGTACGGACCGGTCGTGTCATGACGCTTCTACCGCCACTCTTGACGCATTCGCCTCTTGACCGTATACCCGCGAGTCGAGGAATTTGCTGACTTTCCTGCTTCTCCCTAGGCGTCGCTATGAAGGATATCATGACTGCGGTCGGCTCCAAGTTGCAGCTGCCAGTGCAGAGCAAGACTCCGGAGGAAGCCCAGGCTCTTCTCGGTTTCTTTGGACCTATTGTCGGCGCTGACAATCCCACATCAAGTGAAATTAGCAAGAAGGCGCTTGGATGGCAGCCAACTCAGCCGGGCTTGGTTGAAGACATCGCTCAGAACTATTTCTGATGTCTCAAATGCAAGTGTCTGACGACATCTACAGGAAATGATTGAGATAAGATCTCCTCTGTTTCCCGCGAAGGCGTTCACTGATCCCTGCCCGACCACGAGGCATAAGGTTGCACATATCTAGCCAGGTACAATGATAGGTTCACAGATGCACCAACAAGATCCCTTCTTCGGTTTCTTTCCCGAAATTGCGGCTGCTCCTCGCCCGAGCCTCCAGGCAAACAAAGTAACGGGCAACAGAATGGATTGATGAACGCATATCCGGTATGGCACGATGTCACATTGCTCAGGTCTCAGTCGACAAGAACAAGTCGAGCTGGGATTGTCTGGAACTGTGGACAGTTGCATCGATCGATGCTCCTCAGTCGTAGTCCGCACTGCAACCATATGATAAATTGACCAAATGCAAGCCGCGTTATTGTTCACTCTTCGCCCCCGGGTGAGGCTTGGCCGAGAGTCCGAGACGAAGTCAATTCAGCCTACAGTATCAACCTTGCTCGCGCACACTTCGAGCAATCCCCAAGGATGCCCCGCTCCAATGTTACGGCACTTATCGTCACCTTACAGCACTATGTCAGGTACCCGCCCGCAGGCGCTGGCAATGGTGCAACATTCTTTCCAGGGAGAGCACCCCTCTTGCACGTAGCAACCATTGTATGCGACGTCAACAGCCCGGAGGAAATGCTGGGAAATGAGATAACAAGTCCATGACGACGCTGCTCAAGGTGTGGCTTTCGTGCTGTTCCTCCTTGCTCGACTGCTCACACCATGGCGTTGTTTAGTGCGGTGGTCTCAATCATCCTGTTCGCGAGCTCAATATCAGGGACACTCCTGGGCGTGCCAACAGTGCCATTTACAGGCAAAGGGTCCCATCTCGACCTAAGGGATGTGAAGACAATAGTGGTCGACACTGCACATGGTTCAGCAAAGGACCAAAATGGGCAGACACTTATTCCCCCAACGCTCGACGAGTTTGCGGAGACCTTTGCAAAGGACTGGTTAAACATTCTGGGCAGCAAAGTATCTCTGAAGCACGACTCCACTGAGAGTCATGGTACGATCTTCCTTACGCTCGGAAACCGCACCGAATTCAAGGATGCGGCTGGAAGATGGACGTCGGAAGCATACTCTCTCGAGGTTCGCAGCGACTGTGTCAAGATCGTGGGAGCAAGTCCGCTGGGAGTGTGGTGGGGCACGCGATCAGTCCTGCAGCAAGCAGCGCTACATGACGGGATAATTGAGACTGGCTCTGGAGTAGACAGCCCAGGCTGGGGCACACGAGGAGTCATGGTATGCTAAGGAGTTCGCCGATATCATCCGACAGTGCTGACTGCTCGGACCTAGTTTGACGGCGGACGACATTATTACCCTCCGGAATTCATCATCGAGATGTGCAGTTGGATGTCCTTCTACAAGCAAAATGTCTTTCATCTGCACTTGAGCGACAATCTCTACAACAACATCAAGATCTACTCGCGTGAGAGGCAGCTGGATCTGTACGCTCGATTTCGCCTATGGTCCGAGGACGAGGCGGTCAAAGGACTGAACAAGCATAAGAATGAATCCTACACTCGCAGTGACTTTGACCACATGCAGTCTAGCTGTGCAGCGAGAGGCGTCACCATCATCCCAGAGATCGAAGCTCCCGGACACGCTCTTGTGTTCAGCCAGTTCAACGAATCACTTGGTCTCAGCGACGATCTTTCCTTGCTCAATCTTACCAACCCTTATAGCACGGAATTCATGAAGACGGTATGGAAGACGTTTCTGCCCTGGTTCCAGAGCAAGGTCGTTCACATTGGAGCTGACGAGTATGTGGACGACAAATTAACCAAGACGTGAGTAAACAGAAAAGCCCCCACACGATGCTCAAGACTGATCGATGACTAGTGCTCTTGCGGAAGTCTACAACGACTTCGTCAATGAGATGAACAAGTTCATCCCGAGCATCTCAGGCAAAGAAGTGCGCATTTGGGGAACCTTCCCTCCGTCAAAGAATTACAGCAATAATATCGCCACAGAAGTATCGTTGCAGCACTGGGAGTTCTTCGAGGACAATCCGTACTACGATTACATCAAGAACGGCTACCGAGTGGTCAACTCTGATGATCACAACTACATCGTCCAGAAGTACAGCACGAGTTATCCACAACAGCTGAACCACACCTTAATCTTCCACGGTAACCCAGAAGGCGGAGCATTCGCACCAAACATCTTCGATCCGAACAACGCCACAAACAACCCCCCAAAGGATAATCCATTTGTGCTCGGTCATCTAGCCGCTCAGTGGAACGATTACGGCGCCAACACTTCCACCTATCTGGAAGCCTATTATCCGTGGCGAGCCTATCTCCCCGCGCTCGCAGACAAACAATGGTGAGTAAACCCAAGGGCAGAAACACCCTCATCCTGCATATTCCCGCCTTCCCTCTTGCCTCACTCTCAATCGCCAATCCAGTCACCTAGGCTCCAGCGGCTTCCTCTCGCTTAGGCCATCTGCTAATGCTTCTTTCTACCCTTTCACCTTTAGGGGCGGAGAAATCACCGAAGACCAATACGACCAAATCTACGACACCCTCCAATCCGCCGCACCAGCCCAAAACCTCGACCGAAGAGTCCCATCCAAGACCCGAACCATCTTCTCCTACATCTTCCCTCCATCTTACAGCAAAATCACAATCCCCGATCTTTCCCAAAACAACTACGACGCCCAGACAAATTGCCAAGCCTCCGATGGCGCTTTACAGATCGCCGAAGGCTGCAAATTATCGACTCCTTTGACTTCGAAGGGAGGCGAATACACCCTCTCTTTCAAAATCAAACAAACCTCCAAAACCCCCGGTCCCATCTTCACAGGTCCGGATTCTGAGTTGCGATCCGGAAACGGGACTTCGGATAAAGTCATGATCGTCAGTGCAGGGAATGCTTTTGCTTTGAATTACAGTTTGCCGGTGGGAGACTGGGTAGATGCGGCGTTGGTGGCACGAGGGAATCGGACTTTTTTCCGAGTGGATGGCGGGAAGCAAGAGCATGAGTTTTTGGCGATCGTTGGTGTGAATGGGGAAAGGTTTGCTTGGGCGCCGTTGAGCGTTGTTGCGCCCATTCAGACGTTTGGGGGTGGGGAGTGGGAGGGTGAGTTGAAGGATGTGATGCTTGTTAATAATGCGTAGGTGAGGGAGGGAAATAAAGGGTTGGCTGTGGCTATATAGCAATAGGTAATATCTCAAATCTAATTTCTTGAAGCTAGGTATTAGGAATGGGCCTATTTTAGCAAATTTAGCTATATATACATTTTTATATACGAGTCCTAGGAATAGCTATAGCTTCTCGCTAAGGAAGGTAAGAAAACGATCTATCTCCTTACTCCTATCTTTAACTCTCTAACATTTTAGACCGGCATTCCGCTACGACCGGCTTTCCGCTATCCTATCTAAGGTACGACCTTAGTAACTTGCTAAGATACAAATTAGATATAGCGCTATTAAAATTCGCTTAACGCTATATAGTTATTAGACGATAGTAGAAGGACTTAGATCTATAGAGTAGAAGCGAGGTAGAAGAAAGCGACGATAGGCTTAGATTTCGAAGTTTTTAAGATAGGTAATCGTATTAGGCGACTATCCTTACTATTTATAGATATAGAAGTATAGTATATAGTGCTAGGCACACGGTTATAGTACGAAGGTATTGTAATAGTTATATAGTATAAAAGTTAATACATTCTCTAAGGTGCCGCGAGGCAAGCTATCTATATAATAGTCCTACTATTAGTAGCAATAGCGACCGCAGCGGTCGATAGTAACCGCTGCCTACTATCGTATATGTAATAGTGTTATATCGTAATAGCCTCCCTTTTTACAAAAAAGGTCGGCACTATCTATAGTGTCCTAAAACAAAGGTCCTTAGTAGGCCGCACCGTAGGAAGGTTTAAGGCAAAAGAGTGTAATAGCGTCGTACAAAGGCTAAGCCTAAACAGTATACTAGAACGGTAATACTAGGTGCAGAATCGTATATCTCTAGTAATAACTACGTCGGTTTTATACTTGCTTATTACGACGGTTACGAAGTGCGTCGCGTAAGCTAGTCGGTATAGTCTAAACCGCCTTTAGCTACAGCTAAGGCGCGACGGTCTTTATAGTCTTATTATCGGATAGCGAGGTATCGACTGCGTCCGCTATAGTAGTAGCGTAGTCTAACTAATCGATAGGGATATTAGGGAAGTCGGTACCTAGCAATAGTAGCGTATTAGCATCGCGTATAGTACCGTATAGCTTAAAGTAGTCGGCTATCTATGTATTAAGCTTCGCGATCTTATCTTTAGTAGTATTGCCTTATACGCCGCCGAGCAGCTTAAAAGCGTTCTCGTTAATTAGGTATAGTATAGGGATTGCCTATTACGGCGCGACGCGTAAGAAATCGTAGTAGAGATAGGTTAGCGATAGCGTAATAGACTCCTTTAAGACTATAGCGGAAAGACGATACTACTAGGCTATCTAGTATTAGCTAGTAACCGGCCCTATACACCTAGGCTGAGTTTTAAGCCTATATAAGAGGCCTCCTTCTACATTATAGATAGAGCACTAACCTCGTATAGCACATTGTTTATGTTACACTTCTATAATGCCTATGTTGCAGGGCTCTAGTTATTAGCCTAAGCAACCGTCTTGTTATCCTATTATACTAAATATAGCTGCCTATATTGCTATAGGTTATGTTACCCTCGGTAGCCTATACTATTACTATAGGTAGTAGTAGTAGTATTGGTTTCCGTCCTTTATTAGAGCCGAAGGTAGGGCTATCTCTTTATATCTAATAGGTTCGGGTATGTTAAAGGTAGTCTCTAGGTACGAATAGCTATAACCGAAGCGAGGGTACGATAAGAGCCTATAATACGGACGATACCGAAGTATCTTAAGGGGCTATTACGACAAGCAGAGAAACCTCTTAACGAGGGCATCGCTTTAACCCCGAAAAGCTGCAAACCCTTAGGACTATTACAGCTTAGGGCCTAGTCTATAGCTATAGCTAGCTTCTAAGGACTCGGCTCCGGGTCGAAGACCTATTTAGTACCGCTTGCTCGAGATAAGCCCGCCTAAGGAGGAGATAGACTAATTACCTATCGGCCTTACTTAGTTTGCTAAGACTATTAATTAATAGCAAATACGGCTTATAGGTCGGATAGCCGGGGAGTCCCCTATTAATCGGGTAGGGCGTTCCTAGATTCGTAGCCTCGCTTAGACAGTGCTTAGCCTTCTACTAGAAAAAGAAGGCTACCGCCCCCCCGCCTAGCTAAAGGAGATACGAGCTAGTTTCTAGGATCTAGGTATAAATAGAGATTGCAGTCTCTCCCTCCGAGCGGCTTTTGTCTAAAATCTACTAAACTAAGCTCCTAGAGGTAGTTAGGCGACCCCTAGGAGGCTAAATCCTAATGCTACCCCGGGGGTAATACTAGGAGAAATAGCCTAATACACTACTCTCTCGTATAGCAATATTACAACAAACTAAACAAACTAAAGACACTAAAAATATATTTATATAGCATTCTATTTCAACTTTATATAGCATTCTATTTTAGCTATTTCAACTATTTTACAACAATCGAATAAGCTCTAGCTCTAGCGAAAACGAGCATTACGAATTAGTAGAATCTTAGGAATCCGAAAACGCCCCTAATCCTATTAACGAAGAAATCAGGCGGCGACTAGTTAATATAAGTAAGCCTCCTACGCCTTCTACGCTAGAGGCGCTCTACAATGTTATTATAAAGATAATAGAGAAGCAAACTAAACTTCTCTGTTAAAACAAGCGTCGCCCGCTAGAACTAGGGAGTACTACAAACCCCTTATTCGAAGGGTGGAACGCTATAGCACATATTAAGCGCTTTAAGGAAGGCTTAGTTAATTACGAGCTCGATAGAGAATCCGACTAGTATAAGATTCGGTCCTTTACGAGGACTACCTCCTCTAAGCTTTACCGAACCCTTAAAACCCTAGTTAGCTACCTAGAAAAGGACGATAAGTCTAATGCTAACTAGGAGACCTTTAAGGTAGCCTTTATAAGGGAATATCGGGAGCGCGATAGCTGTCGCATTAAAGGTAGTCGTACGTAGCTCGAGTCCCTCTACTTAGTAAGGCGCACTAAGGATAACGACCTAAAGGGGTATGTCCGCGAGTTTATCGAGTTAGCGGACGGCATCGAATAGAGTAACCTCGAAAACTCTTAGAGAACGAGGCTGCTCCTCTAGGGATTGCCGTAGCCTATAGCTTAGCGTATCTTCCGTCGCTATAAGCTTAGCGAGTCCGATCCTAAGAGTTTTAGGAAATACAAAGAGGTCCTAGTGTATGTTAAGGCCGACATTAATAGTATAGCCGATGCGAGGAAGTTTATCTACGGCGAAGACCGGAATAATCTAGCGTAGGTTAGGAAAGAAGCCTTAGGAAACAAGGGACCTAAGTTCCTTCCTAAATCGCAAAGTAGTCCTAAGACCGTAACTCCTACTATTACTAAGCACTCTTAAGACGTTGCGGACTTAGCTAAATCCCTAGCCTAGCTAAACCTAAATACGAAAGCATTGTAGCGAGTTAGGGAGGTTATTAATGCTACTATACTAGGCGATATACCGCTAGTCTACTAGGTTTTAGATCCTAACTACCCTAAAGCCCCTTTAGTAGATGTCTACGCTATACGGAAGATCTATTCTAACTTGGATAGCAAGTGCTAGATGTGTAGCGGGTTCAAACATGTCTAATCGTCCTGCCCTATCTAGAAAGAGCTTCTTAAAAGGAAGCTTATTATGTAAGTAAATAGCCGATTCTACTATACCGACACCGGCGACAAGATTGATTTCGAATAGGATCGGAGAGCCCCGAAGCTGCCTTAGCTAAAGACCCTTCTAGAAAAGAAGTATAGCGGCAAGATCGAGTTTAAGGATACTAGGAATAGTACCCTTGCCGCTATTGCTAAACGAGAGACTTAGAAGGTTAGGGCAAAACAGGTTAAGGAGCGAAGTAGTAACGGTACTACTAAGCCTATTAAAGTTAACTTTGTTTCTTAGGATCCGGACGTAGTTACTAATATTTACGCGGTTACTAAGAATAGTATAGATATCTACGCTACTACGCGGTCTTAGACCTAGTCCTAAAACAAGGGCAAGAGCCCTTAGAACCCTACTCGCCCTAGTACGGCAGCCCCTACTAGGGTACTAAAGAACAAGGCGGCCGATAAGGCTAAGCAATAGCGAGAGTTAACCGCTAAAACTAAGACTCTCTAGACAGCTATAGACCGTGCTACCCGATCTAGCACCGCACCTAGCACCGCACCTAGCACCCTACCTATAGAAAGCCTAGTCGTCCTAGAGACTCTAGAGGTCGATATAGAGGATATTACTACTAATATTAGTAGTACCCTAGGTCTAGCTAACCTACCGGCCTACAAGCGAAAGTTATCCGATTTAAAGAGCTTTCGCTTTAATAGATACATAAAAAAGTATAGTACTAGCCTAGCTAACTCCTTAGATATAAAGGCAAACGCTCTCTTCTAGGCTTTATAGTTCCTAGACCTTAAGTCTAATATGTCTATAGGAGAGCTACTAGCATACGGTTTGCCTACTAACCTGTTCTAGAGCCGAATCCCTAACGATACTACCTTTATAAAAGACCTCGCTGCCCTCCGAAGGAAATAGGGACGAGAAGACTATATCGACGTCTCTTCTCTACAGTTCCTTCCTAAATTTTCAGGTGCCTAAGAGTTAGTAGAAGGCGAATCGGTAACCTACGAGAACTAAGATACTATCGATAATACTAACGAAGAGGGAGTTAAGGAGATAGGCCGAGGGGATAGTAATAATCCCGACCCTACTCTAGTTTTAGTCTCTATTAAGGCTGTCCGGTTTACTAGCTAATAAATCGGTCGAGTAGGACCTCCTCGACCTAAGGAACTTTATTCTATCCCTAATAATATAGACCTTTCCGCAGTTACCCGTTCCTTCGCCGTTGTTCCCGCTATCTATATTTAAGTTACTATCGGGAGCTATAGTTAGTAGATGCTAGCAATGCTTAATAATAGTTCGGAGTTACTTATTATAAGTAAGCGTTAGGCTAAACAACTTAGGCTACTAATAAACAGAGATATTTCCCTCGGTATATAGGGAGTAAATAGGGAGGTTACGCTA